CCAATAATGGAATCAAACTCACCTCCTGAATGAGGTGGGCTGGATTCTGTAATCTCTGCACAACACTTTACATAAGAGTGGTGTTTGGAGAGGAGCCAACAAGTTTGATTATTTGGTGCCTCTGGCAGCGCCAGGCAGGTATTAATTAATCTTAGAGTGGTGGGAGAGGCCTTTGCACCACACTCCCAGCTCCTGGTGTGGGACAGTGGCTGAAAAAGAAAGGTGGCTGGAGCCATCCTTTTTTAAAATCTTTTCAATCTTTTTTAGTCATATTTGGGCAACATTTTTCAGAAAAGAATAAACAAGGCGCCATAAAGAGAATAGAGTTATTTCCACAGCTTTGACACGATTAATAATCCATCGTAGTCAAATCTGTCTGACAGGTCATTTCTACCTTTGGATTAGAAACCAATAATTTAAATTGTCTCAGAGGTCACATCAGTCTGTTCCATCATGTTTAATGACAAGTTAAATTACTCATTTTCCACTCAGCTTTTCCCAGCATAAAACCTGAAACTCTCCCTACGCCTCCGTGCAGCTCCGGAACAGTGAGACAAATGAAACGCTCGACGCTGGGATATTTGATGCCTGGGACATCTGCCTCTTCCATTTTCCTGGTAATTGAAAGCTTGCTGAAGAAATAATTTATTAAGAGATGAATAAACTCGGGATGCAAGCTCAATTTGTGCCCATTATTTCATTTGGCATATCATGTTCATTTAAAGAATCTGACACGCTGGATCAGATGGTCCAGCCTAGCACAGGAATTGGCACACACATGGGAACTCTGCAGAGCTTCTTAAAAGGTCCTCCCACACAGCCCTATCAAACCTGAGTGTTTCATTTACTCAAAATTCTCCCAGCAACAAAAAAAAAACAAAAAAAAAACAAAAAAAAAAAAGTTGGTTTCTTTTCCTGTCTGTTGCTTCTGAGAACAGAATCTCAATTATCAGCTTGCTGTCTTGCACTCCTTCACCTCTTCCCCACATATCAGTGCCACAGAATATTTCACCAATATTGCCAATGTTTAGAGTATTCTTCCCTTTTTTGTGTGTCTTATAATGACATTTACCATATGTCAGTTCACTGATGAATAATAAAAAAACCCAAAAAATGGATATGTGACACTGTAAGAATACTATGTTAGAGAGAAAAAGTTACAGATCAAAAGGTGCCTACTTGAAAAAGCACATTATACTCTCTCCTCACAACAAAATATTCCAGCCAACACATCCAGCAGCAAACAGCAGAAATTAAACAAAAGCAAGAATAGGAAAATGTAAAAGAAGTAGAGAGGGAAAAGAATCAAAAGTATCATACAAGGGATAACAGTAGAATAGCAGTCCCTGACACATCAGTATTTAAAATACATGCATTTCATTACTACTTCCAGGACTTTTTTTGCATTATTTTCATGGATCCTGGAAGCAACACCCGTGTTCCCTCTGCTGGTCCTGCTGTAACAGTGCAACCAGCTCCAAGGCTCTGGCCATCTCTGACTGTGGTCTGAGGAAGTATTTTACTGCTATTTCTCTAAACCTCTCAAAGGGAAAGCTTTCAGAATCACATGTGGCTTGAATAAAGACTTTTACTTGGATTTATCTTCTCAATTTTGTTAATTTTTCTCTTAAAATCTTGATCAGATCTTATTAACCTATTTATAAGCTGAAGATACAGAGCAATTCATGACAGTGACTTGTGTACAGGGAATGAGTTATCAGCCACCCAGATGGTGCAGTCAAGCTTCACAAAATTCTGTATAAGGCCTCCTCTTTATTAAGAGACAAAGTGGCCAGAGGAGGAAGTAACAAACTAAATGAAAAATATTGACCCAAGAAAGAGATGGAGGAGAGAGGATATTGAGGGAGACAGGGAACAAAGAGAGATGAAGTAAAGGCAGCAGCAATTGCTGTTGGGAGATGCAAAGCAGGAAGGAAAAAGCTGATTAATGCAGCACAGAGATTCATGAGAGGAACAAGAGCTTGTGAAACAAGTCAATTAGTAGGAAAGACTATCAAGTGCAAGACAAATGCAAAACAGTGAAGTCTCAGGAAACTATAAAGACAAAATTACCACTAAGCGTGGCTCATTCCCAGCACAATCTGCAAGGCTAACTGGTATTAGTGATCCAGAAACCCTCTCTGGAATGGCTCCCCGCCCTCAGAACATAAAACTTAACCCCAAAACCAAAGAAATTAAATGTGAAGTAACCCTGCTCTGCATGTCACTGCATAAAACATGGAGCAAGGCTGCTGACAGACACCGCACAGGTGCACTGAGGGCTAAGAGAGGTACATGTAGCAGGTTTGAATTTCAAGGCTCTGGTATGTTGTTATTATTTTGCTGTACAAGCAGGAGTTGAGAACTGGGGCGCTGGTGCAAGGAGGTTTTGAAATCCTGCCACTGGATTTAAATAACAAAACTACTGAAATAGAATTTTATGAAGTCAGAGGAGGAGAAAGCACTACTCTTCCTGGCACGGAGCATACATATCCTTGTGGGATAAGGTATGTAGGACATTATGAATAAACACGGACAACATTTACTGCCACTCAGTCCTCCAGAAAATAAATTTGCAGTATTGAACTCTGAGGTTAGGAACAGCACAGAATATACTGGCTACCCCAAGTCTGTACAAATTTTGTTTAATAGGTGTCAGGTGCACAAAAATATCATCTCGTAAGTGGGAATCCCAAAGGCAGTTCTGTAAAGTGGAGTAGCTGCAGGTCAGAGATCAGACATCTCTGCACATGAGAACCAGTTCATCCTCAGGTTTTATTCCTCCTTTTCCCTCTAACTTCCCTCTTACAAATGGAGTACAAGTACCCTTTTTCTTACACAAGTTCCTCACAAAGCTCCTAGAAGCCATATCAACTTCTATAAAGCCATAAACCTGTTAGGTAAAGAAAATCTTTGCAGTTGGAGAACAATTTACCATCCATAGTAAGATATATCCAAGAAATCTCTCCAGGATTTAAATAAGGAGTTGCAAAGCATCAGTTCTGTGCCACCTCCTCTGCTGTCCTGATTCCATTTCAGCACATACAGGCAGTCACTGAAATCCTCACAAAGCAATGAGGAAACACATGACTCGAGCAGCAGGAGAAAAAAATAGCTATAGCTGCTCTACATAAAGTAAATTAGCAGGTTAAAGCCCGTTATGCGTGCATTATCAGCTGGCTTAATACTGCTGCATTCACACCCGTGCTCTCCGACACGCCTCGCACGGCTCTGCCGGGCCAGACCTTCCTGCACTGTCCCGAGCCAGGCCCACGTCCCCAGGCCCGGAGGGACGGGTGGGAGGGAAGAAATGCAAATCTCCACAACACGTCAGACGCTTCCCCGTGGGAGCAGGTTTCTTTCTTGCCCTTTCCCCGATCAGTTTAACCTGGGAAGCGCAATACCCGATTACCCCTGTTCTGGCTTGCATAACTGGCCGTGGCAGTTGTCATGATTTGATCACGAATCAGATCGGCTCCGGACCCGGCACCTGGTTAGAAATAGCTGGAGGGTCGGGGGGCACAGCCGGGAGACCCCCGGCTGCAGCGGCCCTCAGAAGGCACGGCAGGAGGAGCAGGAGGATGGAGGATGGAGGATGGAGGATGGAGGATGGAGGATGGAGGATGGAGGATGGAGGATGCCTTTGCCGGGGGCAGACCCCAGGCAAGGCAGGGCAGGGCTGGCGCTAGGCCGGAGCAGGGGCAGGGCTGGGGTCCCGCTGCCGAGCGCTCACCTCCTTCCAGCGGAGCTGCCGCAGGCTGATTTTCAGGGCCTCCAGAGAGGTCTTGGCCTTGGAGCTGTCCACGGTGACCCCGGCCCGCCGGACGCTCTCGGCCCCGCCGCGGCGGCCCGGGCCCCGCCGGGCCCTGCCCCGCGCCGCCCGCCCGGCCGAGCCCTGCGCCGCGGCCCCGCGCCGGCCCCGCTCCCGGCCGGGCAGCGCCCCTTCCCCCGGGAGCGCCGCGGCCGGCGGGCCGCGCCGCGGGGCCCCAGCGGGCAGGGCCGGGGACCCCGGGGGCTCCTCCGCCTCGCGCGCCGGCTCCGTCTCCGCCGGTTCCAGCCCGGCCGGCTCCATCTCCGCTATCCCCAACCCGGCCGGTTCCAGCCCGGCCGGCTCTATTCCCTTCGTCCCCATCTCTGCCTGTTCTCTCCCCTCTGTCCCTGACCCCGCCGGTTCTGTCCCCTCTGTCCCTGACCCCGCCGGTTCTATCCCCTCCGTCCCCATCTCCACCTGTTCTATCCCCTCAGTCCCTGTCCCCAGCCCGGCCGGTTCCAGCCCGGCCGGCTCCACTGCCTCTGTCCCCATCCCCGCCGGTTGTATCCCCTCTGTCCCCGTCCCTGTCCCCGCCGGTTCTATCCCCTCTGTCCCTGTCCCCAGCCCGGCCGGCTCCATCGCCGCCGGTTCCATCCCGCCCCCGCTCCCCGCCCGTTGCCATGGCATCGGCGCGGCCGGTGACCCGCTGGCCCCGCCCCGCCGCCGTGAGGCGCTGACGCCGTCCCCGCCATTTTGGGGTCGGGCACAGGCTCCGCCTCGCGCAGTCCGACATGGCCCCCGGAGGCGCCGGGGCCGCCATGTTGGAAGCGGGCGAGGCGCCGCCCCGCCATGGCGGCCCCGCCTCAGGCCGGGCTGTGCCCGCCGTGCCCGCCGCACCGAACCGCCCGGGTGCGTCGCATTTTCCTGCTGTGCCCGCCGTGCCCACCGCACCGAACCGCCCCGGTGGCTCCGGCACTCGGTTCGCCCCTTGTCGTGCGGCCGAAAGGTTCTCGTGTGACACGGCTGTCGCCGCCCTTACAGAGCGCTGCCCCTCACCGAGGGCGTTCCCATGGACCCTTCAGGTTCAGCTGCATCGATGCTGCGAGAGCCCATCTGCGGATTTTGAACTCGCTTGGGCACAGCAGTAAAATACGAAAACTTTTACACTGTCAGAAATGGAATGAATAACCTCAGCAGCAGCTCCGTGAGCGAGCTGGAAGGTTCCCTGCCCACGGCAGGGGGTTGGAACTATATAATCTTTAATGTCCCTTCGCGCTCAAAGCCCCGCAGAACTCTCTGATCCACGGGTCCCTCTCGCTGTAGGTGTGAGGCAGTGAAATGGAGAAGGTGCAGCAAGGAGCAAAGCCGGGTTTTTGGAACTGGGGCGCGCAGGGCTGCGGGCAGGCGGTGGCGCTGCGCCCTGGGAAATCCGGCCGGCTGCGAGCCGGGACTTGGGGAAAAAACAGGAATAATCGGGGTTCTGTGCGAAGGAGCGATCGCCAGCGTCGTGATCTGGAACAGGAATGAAGCAGGGTATCAGCAGAAATTATTTAAATACAGAAAAATTTTAAAAAATGCAGGAAAAGTTGGCACTGCCAGCTGCGAGATAAAATAACAAGGTCGTGGCAAGATGCTTATTTTTTCAGTGCCTCGACCAGTCTTCCATAATTTACCCTTGCTGGCAACGAAGAAACGAAATAATTAATTAAATAGAGCTGTGTCTTGCAACGTGAAGTGACCAGGAAGGCTGAGGCCAGGTAGCTCGCTCTTGGCTGCTCTCATGTTGCTATTAAAAGATGTACATTCTTTTTTTATAGCTGTGACAGTGTTTAATTAAAAACCCGGGAGCGTTTCCATGTTCCAGCAGGAGCTCGGAGGGGCTGATAATGTTGGCAGGATGAGCTGACTGGGTGGTGTCTTTTCCATGTCCATCACTGAAGGCACATCCTTGGCTTCACCACCACCACCAGATCACAGAAATGCTTGGGTTGGGAGCAACCTTAAAGATGATCTCGTTCCAAATCTCTTCCACGGGCAGGTACAAATCGGAAAGAAAAATTAATATTTTACTTATGTTCAACATTGGCAGAAAAATTCAGTTGTAAGAAAAGCAATTTGGAGATGTTGGAGTGTGTGATTTAAAGTGGTGACCTGACTCTGACTGTCTCTTATTTTACTGCCAGGATCCCAGATGAGTATTTTTAACACAGAGATTTATCCTCACCAATGTCATCAGTGCTGAAAGAAAGCCAGGGAAAGAGTTAAGATGGGCCAAAGCATTAAGAGGCATTAGAGCATGGGAAATACCAAACAAAATGATTGCAAAGGGGAAATCATTTTATATCTAATTATCATATATCCACATTTCTTATGTGCTAATAACAGACTAGTTGTTCCTCTACCAGAGAAGCTGTAATAGATCCGATGCCTGGTTTGCCTGTGTTGTGTGGATAAAACCCTAATTTCCTGTTGGGATAAATAGAGATGGGCTGCAGTGTGCAGCGTGGGCTCAGGCTGCACGTGGCATTCAGGTACAGCAAGGTGTGGAGTAAAGTATAGGTTGGGCAGTAATGAGGCACAGGTAATGCAGAAGGAGAGCATATCCTGCTGAATACAGCAAGCTGGGTCTAGCAGCAGGAGAGAAATGGGAAGCCTGAGATCATCCCTCCCCTGTGAGGAGAGGGGAAATTTAGTTACGGGGTACTCTTAAACACAAGGCTGTTTCCTGAGACCCTTGCTCAGAGGGAGCTGTTGATAAGAACAGATTGTTACTATCTTGTGATAATACGTGAACAAGAACATTCCATCCAGGAGAACTGTAATGTCCCTATGCTCTCATTAATTAAATTCAGGATATCAAAGACAGATGAGGTACTGGCCTAATTTAATGGGAGTGGGGAAGGATCCTATTTGATTGTACAGCATTTTACTCATCTCTCAGACTAACAACTCCACTCTCATTTACCCGAAATCATCACTTACCTGATGTCTGTGTGTGCACAGGCAAGTGCCAGGTCCAAGGAGGAATCCAGGACTAAAGCAGTTTTACAGATGCAGCAAATTGAACAGTTTTCCACCAGACACCATGCTGATCCCAGCAGCTCACACTGAGGGACTGCACTGCCAACCTGTGGTACATGCAATCCATGAGTTGGGCATGTGAACCTACCTCGCTTATGAGGTTAACAAGTAACATTTTTCTTTACTAATATATTTCCCTTCTTCTAGTAAGCATTTTTGTTTCCAAATTGGGATCAACATTTTTAGCTTTTATGTGGCATCATAAGGGCAACAACTGTATTATTTTCTATACTTTTTTAAAGACAGCCAAGACAAGAGAAACAAAGTAGCATGTAATTTGTAAAAAGAACATACCATCTTTTTAAAATCTATAAAACTGGCCTCCTGCCAAATGCAAATTTGCAGAAATACTTCAGTGTACCCTTTTGAAAAAGAACACATTCCTCCAGCTATTGTTAAAAAAAAAAGTTACTCATGAAGAACTATCCATCTGTGTCTGAAGTTAATAGTTCCTTTTGTAACAATGGTGAGTATCTCCTGTCAGTTGTTCTTTCACAGATCCATGAGAAAGCAATGCTCTATAAAATGAAAAGTCAGAAGAAAACAAATCTAGCCAACAGACTCCACTTGGAAAACGTCTGTGGTGGGCTTATGCTTCAGCCTGGATTTAAATCCATATACATCACTCCGTGCTGACCATGTTTATGTTCGACCACAGAAGATTTGTGGTTGACCTACATATGCAAACAAAACATTTGCTGCATATTTGGGGTGGGGGGATTTGCATGATAGAAGATGATGAAAATATGCATAATTGTAGATGACATTTTTCGTTGCCAAGTCCTGCTGCACAGCCCTTTGGAGCTGGCCATGCATGAAAGAGGCTTGCAGTCCTGCCGGGCAGATTGCCTGGCCGTGCTGCGGAGCTGAACCGCCGAGACATCCAGCTTCTGTTTCTTCTGAGCAACACAAATCTGGTGCAATCATCTCACCAAGCAGCCCCTGTGCTCACAGAGGACACATATGACACTTACTGAGGGGGGCTGAAGCCATGAGTTCCACATGTCACCTCTGAGTTCCCCTCACGGGGCAGCTCAAGAGACTCAAAGATTTTGTTTAGGAGTTTTCTTGGTATTCTTGAAATCCCCAATGCACTGGGGGTAACATCACACAATTTAGTCAACAGCTGCTGGTTTATCTGTTCTTGCTCCCACATTTCATCCCACAGCAACATTTCTAGGAAGTCTGCTGGTGTGTTAGTACACTTGGAGGCTTTGCTCTAAAAATTGCACCAGCACAAGTACATATTAATAATGTTGATAAAGTGGCATGACAAACGCAGATCTCCTAGGACAGTAAGCATGCACAGACCTCTCAGCTCTATGTGTGATATGGAAGGGCTGTCCTGTAACAGAGGTTTTGTCTGCCATTACTGGATGTCTGTCTGGTTGCTCTGCCCAGGTCACATCTTATTATTCAAAGTCTCTGCAACTCTGCTGTGCAGAAATAAGTGCTTTAAAGGGTTAGCAGAAAGGAGGAAAATTCCATGGCATCGAGACCAGGTCTCCTCCTTTATCTGTGAAGGTGGGTTTGGAAAAAGCTTCCTTCCCTACAAACCAACCAAGGAGCTGATTAAAGAGCACCCTGTATGTAACACCCACCACCCCATTTACACCATGTCAAGGTCTCTTCAAAAGATGAAGCTATGTAAGAAGAGGGACTTCCCTGCAGAGTCCTGGGGTGGGCAGAAACGTGCATCCATGTGAGAGAAAGAGAAGGAAGGAAATCTTGGGAGCCTGTGCCCGAGACAGAAAGCTGATACAAACCTGGTCCCTGCAAAAACACTCGCAGCTCCGAGCCAAGAAGCTGTCTTGGGGCTTCACTCCTACTGTGTTCAGAGAATCGGGACTTTCTGTGAGCGCTTTGCACATCAAAGGAATAACTCTCTCAGCACCTCCATGTGATGCAAACACCCACCATGAGGTTTGGCCAACTGTTCAATGCTACTCAGGGCTTGTTTATACTAAATCCCTGACGATGTCCTGTGTAAATACTTCATTCCACATATTTGCCCAGTTTCATTGTCCAGAAGAAAAGGCATACAGCTTTCTTACTTCCAGTGGAGTCAAAGAATTTTCTTTGCCCAACAAACAAACTAGAAAATTAATGGCTTTTTAAGATTAGCAGCCTTCAAACTCAATTCTCAAACACAGATCCAAACCATTAAGGTCAGGAGATTTAAGCCCTATGAAAAGTTCACAGAAGTTCATGAACAGGGAGTATTAAACACCTCCATTCAATTGTGATCTAACAGAAACTGGCACTGCAAGCTTTATTAAATAACAGTTGCTTTCTTTTTCTCAGGATTCCCATGAGATATTTCTTCCCTCCTACCAAAAGGATTTTATAATCTGCAGGATACTGGAGAGCACCAGAATTGAATTTAAAAGACCATTCTTGTTATTTCATCCTGTTCTTGCTATCAGATTTTAAAAATTAACTATCTCAAGCGAAGTCCATATGCTGCCACGTATATAGGAATGCTCTTGTGGCAATGGGAGGGTAACGAGGAGAAGCTTTGAGCAGCTCAGCACGATGGCAGGTTCCTGCACGCCTCAGCTGAAATGCAGTATTGCAGAATCAATGTAGAGACTCACCAGTAATGGCTGTGTTAGGTTTTTCCCCATATGAGTTGAGCTTTGCTGGCGTTAGCATCAAAGAAAGTGTGAGCAGAGTAGCATCTCCTCCTCCTTGGGCTTAGGAGAACCAAAGACCTGAATGTTGCTCAATCAGTCCAAGGACATTTGCACACAAAATCTAGGTTGTTCATTCAGGTCAACAGATTTTTTTTTTTTGATCAAGATATATACGAGATAAGAAAAGTGCCATGAAATGTCCTAAGTACACACTAAACATCAGCACGGACCACACAAAAAATCTCCAACAAAGAGCTAAACTGATGCATCTGCAGGCAAGATGTGTATCTAGAGGAGCATCTTGGACAGAAACCAACTGAAAAAACCCATACTGAGTTATGCTGTATAAAAGTGGCATTAGCATAAACTTGTGAATATTTAAATGAGAAGGTAATGCTGTGATATAGACTGGAAGAAAAGAAGTCTGTCAGGAAACAGAAAAACTTCACAAAGACAGAAAGCTGACCACAGAACCCTCCCGAGAAAGAGCTGCTAATACCTCAAAATATTTGAACATGTAGGGTCATAGTCTGTGAACCAATATTAATTCCTTGGGGTTTTTCTCCCTCTCTTAATTATAAGTTTCTGGATTCTTGGCTCTTGCCCATCTCCCACTGACTTACAAGTACTCAGAAATGCCAAGAAGCTCAGCATGATCACGCTCCTGAGATGGATACTGGGAACTCTGCACTGTCTGCCTGTGTTCAAACTTTTCTTTCTTGCTAATGCAAAAGCCACATAAAAGGTGCTGTCCAAAAACATTCAAACACGTAGCTGGGAGTTACTTTTAAGACTCAAAAATTAATTTGGGGGAACCCACATGAGATCCATTGGCACACAAGTAAACCCCCACCCTTTGGATTCTACACAATTCATATTTCTGATCATTCCTGTAAACGGAGTGTGGCTGTACTAAGAGTCAGAGGACAAACCTTGGGCCTTGCCATCACAGTTGTGCACATCTCATCCCTTCCTTGTGCTGGTGCTTGCTGAGGAATGTCACGCTCAGGTGCGCCAGGTGTCCCAGAGTGGCATCCGCGAGGGCTCCCCTGGGCCTGGCAGTGCCTTGTCCCCGAGGCAAAGCTGGGAGGAAAAGAACATCATGAGCACAGGGGGTGCCACAGATCCTGCGGGTATACTGAGTGGCACAGTGGGCACAGTGCGTCAGGACTCTGAGTGTGCTAATTTCTAACGGAGCTGTAAGTCCCATTGACACAAGCGTAGGTGAGCGCTCATTCAGGACAGCCCTCGGAGGTATTTCTGTGGATTGATGAGATCTCCCCGCAGTACTAAGGAGGCCCAGCTCCCGAGCGTCCCCACGCGAGACGCTCCGGACGGCGGCGGCGGGGCCGGGGCGGGGCGGCCGGGCCGGGCCGGGCCGGCGGCTCCACCGCCCCCCGCATCACATGAGGCAACTTCGGGCCAATGGCGCCGCGCCGGGGCCGGGGCCCCGCTCGCTCCCGCGGCCGCTCATTCAAAACGCGGCCGGGCTCGGCGCCCGCAGCCCCGCACGGCGCTCGGCGGGGCGGGCGCTGCCGGCCGCGATGCCCGGCGGCAGCGCGGGCTGAGGCGGCCGCCCGCCCGCCGCCATGCCGGTGAAGAACCGGTACAACCTGGTGGACGATGGCTGCGACTCCCGCGTCCCGCTGCACAACGAGGAGGCCTTTCAGCACGGCATCCACTTCCAGGCCAAGGTGAGCCCCGGGCGCGCTCCCCTCCGCGGCCGCCGGGCTCGGGGCCCTGGCGCGGAGCCGCGGCGGGTTCCGCCGCCGTGGCTGCTGCAGAGAGGGGCTGCGGGGCTCTGCGGGGCTCTGCGGGGCTCTGCGGGGCTCTGCGGGGCTCCGCGGGGCTCTGCGGGGCTCTGCGGGGCTCTGCGGGCTCGGGGTGCCCGCGGGCTCGGCTCCGGTGCTGTCCAGCAGCCGCCGCTGTGGTCCCCACTGGCCGCGGGCCCCGCCACGGTTATTCCTCAGCTCTGGAAGTGCCCCTGGGCCGCGCTGAGGGAGTCTAAAGAAAACAGCAATCAATTATGATATGAAAGCCTTACATTTAATGAGCGCAATCAAACAGGTTCTTGCTCTTTTCCCAGTGTTTTTGCAGCTGTGTAATCCTTAGACGCTGCCTTGTGTGCTGCATTTGGGAGCTGCTCTGGAATGACCCCTCTTGACAGCACCGTGGATGCTGTCCCAGGTGCTCATCCCGGCCTGATCCAGTGCCTGTCCTGTCCTGCCACGGCAGGGTGGCAGCTCCCCATTCCCCTGGAAACCAGCAGACTGCTATGTGCCGCTCAAATAATAGTGCCTTACTCCAGCTGACCCCTTCCCTGCACGAAAAGCTGGACAGACAAGGTCTGCAGCCTTCAGGCATCAGAAAGAGATACTGATATTGTCAGAAATTCCGTATTGATCGTGGAGAACAGCCTGGCAGCACAGCAGCACTCTCAGAAAGTGACTCCATTGGAATTGGCATTCTGTAGACAGCATGGGGAATGGGTTTATAATTCAGCTGACAAGAAGAATTGCATTTTGCTGGAGCAACTCACAGGCTCCCTTCCCCTCTTTGCAGGTGGCCTAACACAGATTAGAAATGGAATTCACGCCTGCTGTCTCCTGAGCTGGAAAGAAGGGGCATATACATTCCAATAAAGCTTTGAAATACGGATTTTGTGCCTCTCGGTTTTTCTCCTGAAAGAGCTGTAAGATTTAAGCAGGATACAGGATGAATCTGAATAGACAGCTAATCATGTATTTTAAAAAATTTATCTTCCTTAGGGAAAAAAACATTTAATCTGTGATTTCTCTATTTAAATTAGCATTTGCTGTGCTGCAGACTGTGCTGAGGAGAAGAAAAATTCTTAATTTGATTTTTAAAAAAGATGGGAAGCAACTGTACCTTTAAGTGAGTGAAACTGGCTTTTCAGATTGACAGCTCCAGGCATCCAGAGTTGGCGAGTGGATAACACCCTGTTAGGATGTGTGGGTCTGGGATGGGGTTTGCATTACCTTAGTAACATGCTTGCTCAGTTCTGCTTTACAGTCTGTCTCTTCCAATTATGCTGCTCATTGTGGGCACATCAGTCAGCTGCAACGCTGACAATGACAAGGCTGCAGCTGGCTGCAGGTGTCTCGCACCAGGCAATCCTACTGACCACACTCACTCTCTAATTTCCACATTCCAAACTGCCTTCCTCCCCCTATAATCTTCAGGAGGTCAGTATTGGGAGCTGCTTGTTTGGGCAGAGCTTTGTGTGCTGTTTCATGAGTTTCAGGGCTCTCTGTGGCAGCACAGGGACCCAAACTCTGCAGCCACACCAGAGGAGGGAGTTTGAAAGAATCTCCTCTAGCTCAGCAGTCCCAGCTGTCCTCTTGCCCCAATTAATTTGTCATTAGGAGCATGGCCTGTTCCCCACTGCAGCTCTGCTGCTGGCAGACAAAAGGCCATCCAGGAGCTCATCTGGATTACCAGTGGCTGTCCTGACAGCCAGTGGAGCAGGGAAGGAGATCTGCACACCAGAGGCCACAGATGACAGCAATACAGCTCTGCCCTCCCCACCAGCCCAGAGGGAAGCCCTGGCTCTGCTGCTCCCCTCCCTGCTGCCCTCAAGCTCTCGTGCTCTGAGCTTGGTTCTCCTGTGGTTTACCAAAGGCTATAGATGAACTTAACTGCTCTTAAAAATGCCATTTTGCAAAGGCATTTACAGAAGCAGCAGCAAAGCCAGATGACCTTTCAGATTGCTTGTGGTGTTTATTTCAAAGCAGGAGAAGGAGCACTAAAGACTGAGCCAGGAGAGCTCATCTCTGAAAGCCCTTTTAAGCAGACATTTTACAAGATAAAACCCATTACAATCTGCAAGTAGTACAGTGGAGAAATAAATCCAGAACTGTGTCATTAACAGCAATACCTATGGGGCTCTTCTACAGAATTATTTTGTCTCTGCTCATGTATATAATATCACCCTGAATGTTTGCAGGGGCCTCCTGATTAGCTGCTCCTTTTCCTCTCCACAAGGGAACAACTTTCAAAAAACCAACAGTTTGTAACCACACGCTAAAAACCAGACACAGCTCATGAACCAAATGCTCCTGAGAGGGTCACTAAACTCTGTGAACTGCCCTCAGTCCCCACCAGCAACAGCAGAGATGGGCTGTGTTACCCTGAGGGAGCTGACATCCCCACTGGGCCCCAGCAGCACCAAACCCAGCAGCTGCCCTCCTGCCAGGGCCACTCCCAGCACATGCTGTCACCACCCTCTCACTCAGTGACATTCTCCCAGTCCTCACCGACATGCCCTGGGCGTGCAGCTCTTCCCTCAGAGCTGAGCCACAGCACTTTACAGCCTCAGCAGCCTTTGCTGCCCACGCGGTGTGACTGTCCGGGACTCCACAGGTTTTCCTCATTCCCAGGGCTGAGCTGGCAGCTCTGTGCCTCCTCCCTTCAGCAGTGCAGGGCACTCCTGTGCAGCCGTGCCACCCGTGCTGCCACCAGTGCCACCAGGCAGCAGCTGCTGCCTCCTGCCAACAGGCACACCAGCAGGTTCTGCTTTGGCGCACGAGGGGAGAGTACAGGCACAGGAGGGAGAAATGCAGCAGCAGGGAGCTGCCCGTGGGTGTTCCATGCTAACCTGTGCAGCATGGGCTGTGTGCTGCCATTCCTTTCAGGAGAGCAGGCAACCAGCTCCAGGAGCTGGAGCTGTGGTGCAGGGGTGGAGGTGGAGGTGATGGGAACCTGCCCTCTGCCATGTCACCCCAGTAAGAGACTTTGCTAGGACTGGCACAGACACTGGAATGCAGACACTCAACCCCAAGCAGTGTGGTTAGGGCTGCAGCTCCCCTAAGCAGGGTTGTAGGACACAGATTTGGGTGGGTTTGCCAGGATTCTGCAGGCAGCTGAGCTGGTCCAGCCAAGCAGGGACAGCAGTATCAAGAAGCAGTATGGTCCAGACTGAAAACTTCAGCTAGAATCACAAGGCTTTTCCAAGAAAGGTGTTTGTTGTAAATCCTGGAAGCTTTACAGCTCTTTCAATTTTGAGCAGGTATAAGGAGGAACAATGGATAGGCAGTCTCATCTTCAGACACACGGGATCATGACTCAATTAGCAGCAGACAGTGCCCTGCAGAGCACTGGTAAAGGCACGTCCAGAACCTGAATGAGGTCAGAGCCTCACACCCAACCTCAGAAATCCCCAACGTGATAACATTGTCTACAGCAGATATTCCTATCCTGTCCTGGGTCAAAGGAGTCCAAGCAAGGAGGGACTAAGTAAATGAGAAATGTCTGTTTTGAAGAAGAACCATGAACTTGTGCATTACTGCACAGCCATCTCACGTTGTGTCTTTCAGTACATCGGGAGCTTGGATGTCCCCAGGCCCAACAGCCGCGTGGAGATTGTGGCAGCCATGAGGAGGATCCGGGTGAGTTCAGAAGAGCTGAGCCCCACAGAGTTAAAGCTTACACTCCCTGGAGTGCCTTGGTTGCAATCTACTGTTCCACATTCCCTCCAGCCCTTCCTATCTGGAGCTCAAATCTCAGCCCAATCAGGTTTGCAACAAGCTTCTCCAGGAATTCCCAAGACATTTTAGCATAGCCTCATCCTGTGCTCTCTGCAAAGGGATCTGTTATCAAGACTCAAATGTCTTGATAACAGCCCTTTCCTGTACTGAGCAGCCATGGGGCTTCTCCTCAAACCTAAGAGATTTATTTCGCCTGTTTGGAATTTTGTGTGCCTCAAAAATAAGCTGGACACAATGTGCTTCACAAAAGCACTTGAGTTCATTGACAGTTCCAAATATATTGTGTTATATATTGAAATATCAGCGCCCTGATAGGTGTGATTGATGTAAATCCCATCTGACTAGACGTTGTGGATTCTGCTGCTCCTAGAATAATTTGCTGCTTTCCCCATGCTCCAGTAGAGTTTTACAGTTCCTGTTTCTCATCACCAAGCCTGCTCTCTTCCTGTTCATCCCCTTTATTCTGCAGAGCAGCCTGTGAATGGTCCCCAGATTTAGCTGTGATTAGCAGGGTTGGGTGGCTTACATCTGCTTCGTGTATAACTAGTTCAAGTGCATCTCCCCCAAAAGGCAGTGCAGCTGTTGTGTCTGGCTGAAGTTTTGCAGGGGTCTTAATTCTGAGGCTCTTCATATGTCTCACATCAGCTGAAGCAAGTTTGAGAATCTTCCATTTAAAGCTTTGAAGGGATTATCCTATTTCCCCCCTCCTTCCCCCACAGTGTTTAACCATCTAATTTTCCTTTAGAATAGTGTTTTTTAAACTTAGCCTGTAACTGGCTGGGGTATTCATCTCCAGCCAAGCTTAGAAATGACATTCCCCTCCCTTTGCCTGCTCAGACTATTAGCACAGCTCTTGCTCAGAACACAGTTCAGCAGCAGTCTAAATTGCCTGGTTATTTATGGAACAGGTGAATATCTGTAGGAAGTAAAAGCAATAGGTGAGGACTACCAGGGCAGTTTAGGTGCTGGCATAATTATTGGCAATTTTTCATCTCAATCAATATTTATCATCAGATTTGAGACTGTACTTCTGCTGATCTATGACACCCTTATAAGAAAAAACAAATAGTACTTTAATATCACTTAAAATAAAATATCACATTCTGTTTTCACCACTGCCACAGCGGTACCCTGCTCAGAGCCTTGGCAGTGCAATAGCATGCTTGAGGACCACAAGAAACATGTAAAAAACCCATTCTGCAGTCCTGGTGCCATCACTTAATCTTGTCACACAGGATTTTTAAAGTAGGCATCCAGTAATCTATACTGAGTTTTTAATCTTGGAAGCCCATTCCAAAAAGGGAGGGCTTCCCTTTTCATGTGCACATTGTACAGCAGGATCTTATTCAGACACTTCCTGGCTGCTGAGCGGAAGATGCTCCTCTATTGAAGATAGTTAATTGGCACTGATCCTTAATTAGAGCATAAAGAATGAACTGGGAGGTCTTTGAAGAGAATTCTGGTGCACAGAGTACCCAACCTAGGAACTGAGGGAAGATGGGGGTTATTTATGTAGCATTCATTTGCATGCAGAGGCCTTGTCTGTACTAGAGTTTTTTCCCATGGACTCTCAGCAGCTCCAGTTACAACTGGGAGGAAACAGTGGAAGAAGCACTTGGGGGAAATGAGTATTTTGTTCCTATGTAATTGTGAGTGGCCATGCCTGTTTGCAGTGCAAGAGTGAGTAAGGTCCCACAGCCCTGCCAAGTGTTGGCAGGGGCATGTCATGGTGAAGCTTTGATCCTCTGTGCACTCCAGTGTTCCCCTGGAATTCTCCACTGGAGCAGAAGAGAAAAGTCGTGCAGTCCAAGCCCCAGCAGAGCATTCCCTGTGCTGTTCTGGTGCCACAGGAGGAGTGGGAGCCATCCTGGTGCTGCTGGAGCTGGCCCAGGGCTCAGGAGGGCTCCTACTGCTTGTGCTGCTCCAGAGCGAGCAGGGAGGAGGATGAGGAGTCACAGCTCTCTCTTGCAGGCTGTGTCAGAGCTGCTTACTCTAGTTACTCATCAGCAAATGGATACAAGTGCCAAAACTGCCTTGGGGGAAAAGCCTCCAGCTGCCGTCCTGAGAGGGTCCTGAGGAGAGCAGCAGCACCAGGTGACGAGTCTGCTCCTTGGCATGTTCTGTGTTTTGTACTGGGCTCTTTTACCAGTCCCTGGTGAGTTATACCAGGGATTCTGGATCAGTGGGATTCTCTGTGCACAAGCAGAGCAGTGTGCCTGCAGACATCAGGATGTTACTCCCAGAGAGCCTCCAATAACAAGTTTTAGCATCAGCCTGCTGAAATCATGACCTGCTCTCTGGCAGTACGTATTTGAGGGGCAGGCTCTTAGTAAAGCTTAAATCCATATTCTGGGCTGAATGGATGCTTGTAGAATTGCTAGCAATACTCCATTAGTCACACTGTAGATCCCATTTCATAACAGACTGGAAAGCCTTGTCTCATCATGTTCTATGCTTCCACTGGAGAGAATGCAAATGCAGTAGGTAGAACAGGGAAGCTGCTGTTCTTAGCTTTCCATTATGCAGAGCTAGACAACTTTAAGTTTGTTAATCCTCCCAGTGGATTATTAGCTGCCTACAGCTGCCATGTTGTTATTATATGATCAGAGTTCAAGCTAATCCCTCTACCTCTTGCCCTGGCAGGGGAGGTGATGAAATGAGTTTGCAGCTTGGATAAATACACTGTACCCTGACAGGCACAGCGAGGGCCTGCTTAGGAGAGTCCAGTTCATCTCAGAGCTCCCAGCACCCCAGGCAGGTGCTTCCCCACCTCCCAGGGAGCAGCATCTGCTGCCTGCAGCTGCCCCAGGCCATCCAGGTCTGGTGTCTGGCAGCTCCCGTGCTCCATCAGCCTTCTGGTGGAGCTGGCTTCTGCTGGAGTGGATCCCTCTGCAGGTATTGGAGCCTTCCCAGCACTCCAGGGAATTTGTGTACAAATCAAGATCTCTCCTCCTCACAATTCAAGCGGTAGCTAATGTGAAGATGGGTTTTGTAAAACACAAAACACTTCCTTGAAGCTGCTGGAGTTGCTTGGAAAATCTTAGCCAGGGAATGGATGGCTTCAAGTGCAGGGTTAACATCACCACACATCCTGCATGCATTCTCCAGAGCCAGCACTGACCAGAGGAGAAAGTCAGCTGTTCCCTAGCCAGAGCACCTCTACCCTCAGTCCAGCACTTCACAGCCAGCTGAGCAGGCCTAGTGCTGCTATTTTGAGTGGGGAGCTGTACAAGGACACAGTAGGAGTAAGTGACAAAGCCTGTCATCCCCAGACAGCCTGCTGCCAGCAATTCCCCAAGACACTCCATTTATCTACCTTCAAGGCACAGAATCAGTTTTCCCTGGAATCTGCACTTAAGAATCTCTAAAGCCTACAAATTTCAGTTTTGTTTGGAAGGTTTAGCTTGGACTTGTGCAGGTATTGACGCTCAAAAAGGAGCCAGATGTTGGATTATTTAATCATTCTATAAGGGAACAGCCAGCTGGTGCTGTGCCCATCCAAACACCAGGATGAGCAAACAGGAGGCAGGCATCCAGACTAATGTGTCTTCTGTTACCTTCACATTTCTTGGGCTTAATTTAATTGAGAAGCCTTTTTCCCCAGAGGCCAGTGTGCCAGAGAAACTGAAGCATTTATAAATCTCAGTGCAGGATACATGAGAAATGCCTGAACTCTCCTTGGAATGAGAACTGGGTTCTCACTTCAGCCTCCCTCTTATCCTGATCATTCTTGCTGCATCCCTCTTTGGGCAGAGCCTCAGCACTTTGCAGTTTCTCCACACAGGATTTGAGTGAGTAGGTGCAATCCAGCCACACTCTAAGTCAGACTGACTGCCAAGTATCAACTGGTGGTGTTGAAGTGTGACATGACAGCAATTTAAATCAGGATGAGTAAGTTACAGTCCTGCTGCACAAACTTGTGAAGCAGAGGCAGCAGGGACAGCTGCAGGGAATCTGCCTCTGCACTCCAGAGCTCCCAGCCCCAGAGCTGGGCTGGCTCACACAGCACATTGCACTTAAAGCCCTGCCAGGCTGTAAATTCCAACGGTTCAGGAGCAAATATGGGTGTGATTTATCTGCTCTGCCTACAGAAGGAGAGGAACCAGGTGGACAGATGGCAGAGGGCAGGAAGACTGCCTTCAGCCCTCTCAGTTTAATTTATTACTGTGTGACAGGTTTCAAAGGTAGAGATGTTTCATGGCCTTGTCCAGGAGATTGTTCTAGAATACAGTTCCCTCAGTTTTCCCAGGCAGGCAGAAGTTCACTTAGAAAACTGCTGCATTAATTCCTCTGACATATTCTGCCTATAAGTCCTTCCTGGGTTATTATGCTCAGAGCTATGTTTTCCTGCCAGCTTCATGTTAATCTGAGCTGGAGTTGTGAATCAGAACTAAAACGAGAAGCTGAATTCCCAGCTGGGTTTCTTGGTTAGTCTCTGCAGCCTCTCCCTCTATAATGAAGATATTTGGTCAGCTGTAGCTGAGGCACAGACTCAACCATGGAAGTGCAAACTGCTGGAGCTCTTGCCCTGGGGTACAGGCCTCTGTAGCTGCACGCCAGGAGCTGTTGTTGTTGGGTGGGAGTTTGCTGTGCTGCAGTTCCTGGAGGGTTTTCCCTTTCAGCCTCTTTGGAAGAGCAACCAAATGCTCAGCTAATGATAGCCCTGGGCTGTGACAGATAACAAGTCTAGTATCTTAAAATACTTCATCAGCCTCAGACTGCTGGGGTGGACCTTTCTTTAGTTCTCAGAACACCATGCACCTTCCTTTCATTTACAGGAGGATGCAGGAGAAACAGATGACAGTTGTGACAAGGTTAAGGTGTGAAACACAAATATCTCTTCCTCCTTCTCCCCCACACTAAGAAGACATTGTATTCACCCCAGAGTATGCTATAAGAAA